AGACTAAGTCCAGCTGGAGTTTCCAGAGAGCCAGTGATGTGAGCGAGTTCCAGCCAGAATCCAAGCAAGAAGGCAGGAGAGGATAAATGTTTCAGCTCCAAGACAGGCAGGCAGAGAGCGTATTGTTTTCTACTCAGCCCTTTTGTTCTACTCTGGCCTTTAAGGAATAGGGCAAGGCCCACCCACATTGGGTAGAGCTATCTGCTTTACTGTATCTGCACATTCAAATGTTGATCTCTTCCAAAAGCACCCCTATAGACCTACCCAGAGTAAGTCCCAGCTAAATATCTGGGCACAGGTTGACTATCACGTTGAACCTAAAATAAACCCTCACATCTATAGTTTCCTGGCCTAGGTCCCAGGAGCACAGAGACTTTGAGATCCGGACTTAGGTGGAAGTTTGCAGGGAGGTGATTCAGAAAGCAAAGTGAGGGAGTGAGGACGTGAGGCAGGAAAGTGATGTTAAAGTGTTGATAAGTACACACCTTAATACCGGGGAATTTGTTTTGCGTTTCTGCAAAGCACCAGTTAAACCTCTTTTAGTGTTTTACAATAATGTATATACCGATTAATGTTAATGCCGCTTACTTGATCGTGTTGATATTTCATGACTGTCTTAACATTTTCCGGATGCACGTTTTTCATAAGTAACCAGAATCTCACTTTTGACAACTATGAAATAGGAACAATAATTTTCTCATACATTTTGAAATGATTCAATAAATGGTCCAGATAAGGGACTTAGTGCAGAATATCAAGCACCTAAAATGTACTCGATAAATATTAAGACCTCAAATTGAGTAACTTGCCAAAGATATGAACATCCTATATATTATCCCTAATGTATATTATCAATTGTCCAAAATTTCATATCAATATACATTGATATCAGAAGCAAAGAATAATACCCATTTTACCCTTAGTTATTTTCCTTTTTGTAAAAAATGCATTTTAAAACTTCAAGTGTTTCACCCTTGTGTTATTTTTATTGTGAGAACAAGAGTGTTTAACCTTTTCCTGTGTGTAGAATTTCTTTCTGGAATTCTTTTTTAAATTGTCATTGATGATCTTTTCTCCATCAGTCTCTTTGTATATTGTTCTTTTTTTTAATGTTTTTCAATGTTTACTTATATTTGAGGGAGAGAGAGAGAGAGTCAGAGAACCTGAAGTAGTTCTGTGCTGATGCAGTGAGCCTGATGTGGGGCTTGAACCCACAAACTGTGAGATCATGACCTGAGCTGAAGTCGGATGCTCAACCAACGAAGCGAGCCAGGCGCCCCTTTTTGTGTATTATTCTTAATGTGAATCAAATAAGTATAGAAGACATCCCTTTGCTATGTTGCAAATTTGCCTCATTATCTTGTTTTTTATTTTGGATTATTTTTATATGTCTATTTTGAAAATAACGTTTTTATATACGTAAGTTTGTTTATGGTAATGTTTCTTTTGCTTCAGTCACATAATTTCTTTTAGTTGAGGTAATACATTATTTGGCATAATACAGTATATTTATTCTGCTAATTTACCCATTATTTTATACTTTCCTTTTTTTTTTTTTCAACATTTATTTATTTTTGGGACAGAGAGAGACAGAGCACGAATGGGGGAGGGGCAGAGAGAGAGGGAGACACAGAATCGGAAACAGGCTCCAGGCTCTGAGCCATCAGCCCAGAGCCCGACGCGGGGCTCGAACTCACGGACCGCGAGATCGTGACCTGGCTGAAGTCGGACGCTCAACCGACTGCGCCACCCAGGCGCCCCTATACTTTCCTTTTAATTGATGTCATTCATATGTATTTTCTATTAGGCTGTTTCTAAATGATTTTTTTCAAGTTTCTTTTTTTCCCACTTTGTTAATACACTCTCCTCCCATCACGGATGAGGCTCGTCTTATCATTTACTGAATCCCCCTGTGTATTTGGGTCCTCATAACACCTACACTATGAGGAATGAGGCTCCCATTTCTACTTAGCAAAGTCTTTATCATAAAGTGACATTTTAGAGAAAGGTAGCTTAATATCTTTTGCAGCAAAACTCAAAGTTCACAACTAATAGGATTCCCAGAATTAATTAAAATTAAATACATTTTTCCCAAGGCCGAAGGTGCTTTGGAAAATGTTGGCTCAGTTGTTTTACCTATATGTGTAATTACTCTGCTGATAGATTTTTGTAAATCTAAAAACAAAACTTGGATTTATTTTTAAAAACATTGGCTACTCTAAAATGATAGTTATGTTACCCTTCCTCAAATACCATTATGTGTTCGGTTGAGCAAGATGTTACAATTTAGAAAAAAATTCTCTTACAAAAATGGCAAAGAAAATAGTTAAAATGTTCCATTGGAGAAATATTTGAAGCACCATTGAAACTCCTTTTCTGTACCCTCCCCTCACACAAACACATAGGCAGAAATATGTTTTTACCACACTCTCTACTAAAGAGAGTTTTCTGTGATTTAAGTGTGTTATCCAGTGAGTGACATAAGGTGTTTTTTGTTTCATGTGCTTAATTCTCAAACATTTCAAATAGATTATCTAAGTGGCATTCTGCAATATTTTATGTGAAATGCCCCATTAAGAAATCATAATATATCCCATATATATTTAGCCTGACATAATTTTAACTGTAATCCATTTTAAAATGTTCTCTGGGCATTAAAATATCAGAGAAAACACAATGGTGATTGCAGGTTTGGGAGAGATGTATTCTTGTTTCTCTCTGCCAGTTTCTTTCTTCATTCTCTTCGTTTCTGTTTTCTATTCTTGTCTTTATTTTATCATCTGCTCCTATTTCCAACAAAGTTACCATAGAACTGTAGCCCTCGTCCGCTCCTGTAATGTGGCCTCTGGTCCTCTTTGGAATTAGCGAGCATGTCCTCACTCCCCAGCCCCTTGGCGTCTCACCCTCCATGCTGTGCCAAGTCCTCACCTGAAGTCCTGGTCACTTGAAGTCCTAGTGTCTAAACTGTTAGGCTCATTGCATTAGAACTGAGACGTAAAAGGTGACAATGCCGGTTATTCAGCTCAGGGCTCTCGTGTTAAAGGGAAAAGGGATGTATTGCTGAGAGGGAAGGGCATGTGATCTGAGCTTCTGTCTGCTGGTAGGCACCAACACAGCTCTATTCGCCGTTAAATGTGAAAATATCCCGATGGCAGTTCGTGTATATCTACTTCCTGGAGTCTCTGGAGCGACCCTGTCACCCCGGCTTCTTTGGCACTTTCTACAGGTCTTCAGACTTTCCAATGGTCACACAGCTAGAGAGAGAAAGGCACAGAGCGGGGCTCCGGGGCTCTGCTGTAGAGCCACCACTGACGCCCATTGCTTCCGGCAGGTGCCTGCTGGTGTGTACTCTCAACAGGTGCAATGTCACCTGCTTGGCGAAGGTTGCCGCCTTGCTTTCCCAGAACCGACCAGTGTGCTTCTCGTCCCATTCACTCTTACCTCTAGTGTGATACACACAAATATTTCAAAGTCTTATTCATTTATTTATATGTTTTTAAATGTTTATTTATTTTGATAGAGCACGTGTGTGAGTCAGGGAGGGGCGGAGAGAGAGGGAGAGAGAGAATCCCAAGCAGGCTCTGCCCTGTCCGTGCAGAACCCAGTGTGGGGCTCGATCTCATGAACCTTGAGATAATGACCTGAGCCGAAGTCAAAAGTCAGTTGCTTAACTGACAGAAATGGATTTGGAAACTTTTAAGTCCACTCATTTATGATATTTTTTTTATATGAGAGTGCTGTAATTCTTTTTTTTTTTTTTTTGCATTATACTGAGATAACTTTCACAGCATATGATAAAATTAGAGAAATAAGGTCAGTGTATTAAATAGCATTATGCTGAAAAAAAAATAGCATTATGCTGTGTGTGTTGACCATGCATATATGTATGACATGTTCATACATGAAAAACAATTGTTACTACAGAGGTGTGAGTATATGCAAGTGTATACTACATTTACATATACAGTTGTTTCATCAGTAGCCAATGAAAATATCTGCTCTACATGATGTTATCCAGGCACACAAGCTGCTAAAAGCATATGTCCCCATCTTGGTGACAGGCTGACTTCATTTATCAGTTATATGAGAGCATCAACACCCATAAATATTAAATATGCTCTTTGGGTAGAAACTATCTGATAGGTCAAAAGGAAGGAGGGAAGGAAAGAAAAAAATGACATGTCTTTCTTAAGGACATGTCCCAGACATGTCTTAGCATAAGTATCTTATAAATATTTATTTACCTGTGTTACAGTTTACTATGTACATAACGTTTTGTAAGCAATGCTCTGAGTTCAATAACATGTATGTTTTACTCTAGGGAAAACTTGGTAAGATGGGTTCCCCTCAAATTAATATTTTAATGCAAATTTATGTTATATCTTACAGGCATTTTGTCATCACTGACCATTTTAATTGCTACTTTCCAAGTTATTCCACTTTAAGTTTTCATGCATCTGTTTCCTACTCACACAGTTTTTATGAATTGCTGTGTCTCTGTCATCATATTAGTCCAGAACTTACCTGAAATTCAAAACCAAATAGACATTCCAGAGTCTGTAGAAAAACAATTAGGGTGATGACTACTTTCAGGATCACTGTATTTTCAAAGCCAGGTATCAGTGAATTGATAAAACATGGCTACATACTTTTAAATCTCAGAGAAAGTTTGATACATTTTTGTGAAGCCATCTGTGAATGTGAGGTATATGGCAGCGACACACTGCAGATATTAGAAAAGTCAAGACTTCACTCTTCTGCAATGGAAAGTCAGTTAATAATTCGGGGTAATCGTTTAGACTTTTGTAAGCTTTTCCACAAAACTAAATTAATAAATCAGAAGAAACCCTTTGTCATGTTGAGACTGTCAATTTGGGGTTCGGAAAATATTTGTCACCGATCACTATGGATACTTTGTAGATGAACTTTGTAGATGTAGATGAACTTTGTGTATGAAGTGGTCTTGAAATATGATTCCCATTTGTTTCTGCTCCTGCCAGCTGAGGGAGCCTGTGGAGGGACCCTGCGGGGAACCAGCAGCCACATTTCCAGCCCGCACTTCCCCTCAGAATACGGGAACAATGCTGACTGTACCTGGACCATCCTCGCTGAGCCCGGGGACACCATTGCCTTGGTCTTCACCGACTTTCAACTAGAAGAAGGGTACGACTTCTTGGAGATCAGTGGAACAGAAGCGCCATCCATATGGTAAGTCCTGGGGAAAAAAAAATGTGTTTACCCCAGATACAACAATAGGCTTTGTAATATGGTTCTCCTTGGACATTCATTGGCAAACATGAGTGTTCTTTCTTTGCTTTGCTATTTTGACTGCTAACAAAGCCCTCTATATTGTGACTGATCTCAAAGTTTCCAAGATGTCTTTGCGTCGGTATTTGGAGCCAGGAAAGTTAGGTGCACGTGGGCAATGGAACATCACATGCCCTCATTCTCGACTCTTACAAAGCAACAGAGATGATGGTAACCAGGCGAGCTAAGTTAGTTTTGGATTTGTTCCGGAGCTGATTCAATGTAAACAGATATTTTTAGACGATGGACATTTTAAAATGTCATGTTACCGACCGTTTATCTACGGTGCTGCAGATATATGACTGCGTATTTCTTTTCCTTCCTGACGATGTTGCAACTATGAAGGGTCACAGGCAAACCATAAATACTAATGCAACATACATATGAAATTAGTCAACTGAGGATCACTTCTCTGGCGTGTATGCTAGTGGAGACAGAAGGAAACTGGGTGTGATCAATTACAGCGAATCAATCTAGGTCTTGGTATTGCTGGTGAGAGCAGCTTTAGTTGTGTCCATAAGTGCAGTTGAAGAGGGAGAATCCGAAGAATAGATGTTTGAAGTCTTTATGCCTTTTATGCCTCAAATTAAGTCATTTGTCATGAGTTGTACTGGTTTTTGTTTTATTTCATTTCTTAGTATTTTAAAAACCCTATCAGTACTCTATTTCAGATCCTGGATGATAAACTAACTTGAATACACACACAGACACACAGACACACACACACACATTCAAATTAGGGTGTAAGTCAGAGGAGATGTTGGCCATTTATACATTGGTAGAGAATATGAAGTGAGTGGGAATATTTCTATGGGTTCAAGTTTGCATTTCCATGTAAAGACTAAAGGATAAAAATATCAGCCCTGAAACATGACATCAAATTAGATCACCTGTCTTAAACCAGTTATTTAAATTGAAATTTATTTTTTTCTAAGGCTCAAAATTCAAAGCAGAGGGTTTATATTAATGGGTGAATTATTTCCTTACGTTAGTTACGCTGTGATTATATTAAATGTTACCTCAATTAAGAGAAAAATAACCGTTGCCTCTCTGGCCTTTGCTTTATATTTGATTCATCTTAAACAAGACTTTGAGATGAGTGGGTTTACCCATTTGTTGATTTCGTGTAATACAATCTGAAACATTCAAGAATTGGTTGATAGTACCTGTCTCCCTTTGTGTTCCATCAGACTTAGTGGAAATACCTTGTGAACATAACGCTGGGTGTCCTGGGTTCTCTTCCATGTTCTGCCAAAAATATCCTTGTGACCTTGGACAAGTCGCATAACAGTTTATATAAGTAGGGAAGCTACTGGATATCTAGTATACTGGATATGCATTACCTATCTATTGAGTTCATATTCTCTGTCAATCACTAAAAGAGAGTCAGGGATGTAACATTTTTAGCTTTAAAATTACATCGTTCTGGTTTTCAGAAATTCATTGCAATATGAAATACATGCTGAGTGTCTCTCAGAAACTATATGATTTATGGTAAAGGCCTTGTTTATGAGAGATTCTGCAGATCGTGGGCACCGACCGACTACCTTGCTCCTAAGATGTCAGGTTGGGAAAGAGAGAAAAAAGAGAGACATCTTTGACCATGATTTTAGAACCCATGGTCCGGACAGCTTCTGCCAGACAGACTTAGTTTATGTAAGAGAGGAAACGTGGAGGTGCAGATGTCCATGTCAAGGTCTGAAATAAAAATAGGGCATGCGAAATCAGAACGAGACACAAGTCTCCAGAAGGGCTTGTGGCTCTTATGAGCACATTGTGACTTCCCACTGAGAGGCACGAGCTCATTCATTTCATTCATTTTAATTAAAGATGGCAGGCGGGAGCTAAAGAATGTTGTCTGAGTTGTTGCCTGTTTCTTCTTGGCTTATCCCTGTCGATTTCTCTCACATCCCCCTCCTTTCTGACTAATCTCTGTCTTCGTGATCCCCTGCAGCTTGTCCCCCACAACTTCAGTATTGGACTCAGAAAAGTGCTGAGGATGGGGCCGTGGGCCCCTGTGAGGCCCGAGAGCAAGAGTTCCTAATGTTTGTCGGAGAGAGAGCTGGCATGGCGGCCAGGACAGTGGCCCGTCTTCTTGGTGTGTGGATTCAGGCTAGAGGACACTTTCCAGCTCTGAAATATATCTAGGTATCTGCCAGGGTACCAAGATTCATGACCTGTGAACACATCGGAAAAACAAAAAAACAAAAACTGGGCAGTTGTTGGGAAAGTTCTTGGTGGGAACTTTGACCCTGTTTGTGTTCCTTCCAGTCTGGCAAATGGGGTATCTGGTTGGACTCAACACGCTCTTTCTCTTGATGGCTACTGATAGATACAGTTGTGTTCATATTGTGTTCTTATGACAATCTGTAGTGTCCTCTTGGCACAAAAGCCCTGGGGGTTTCTTGTTAGTATCCTCTAACTTTTATTGATGAAGAAGCTGGGAGCAGAGATCACAGACCACAGGGCAGCACTGGAACTCAGGCTCGAGGCCTCTGACTCAGAATTACATTTCCTTCTCACTCCACCCCAATCCCTGCAACAGGACAGTCCAGCCAGGTGTAGACTTAATGCTCTGTCGGGAACTCACGTCTCCTCGTAGATTTCACGGTAAAGCCTCGAACAGGTTACTACCACAGAGAGTAACCACCTGAGAGGCGAGTTTACACACACGCTGCCTCGATAGAGAGTCAGAGCGGAGAGAGCTTTTTGGGGTGACACTTCACGTTTCTCATAACTCCAGAAGAACTGTCTTGACCTGGCCGTGGCACTTTTACACAGGACCCACATCTCTCTTCCGTGGAGGCTATCACGGAATAGGTGGCTTTCCTAAATCACTATGGGAACATGCACGGGCACATTTGTAATACAAAACAGAATCACTGGAAGTCCGTTTTTAAGATCTGGACAAATGCATAATATGGCTTACCTCAAAAAGACTATTGTTTTACTATCATTTTAGACTGACAGTCTCTGAAATGTTTAATGGTTCAAATCGGTAGGTTTAAAAGATTTAGCATCCCTGTACTTCAAGGAAGACCCTAAGTAGAGCGCAGGTGGCTGGTGCCCCCCCTCAAGCACAAGGCTACGGAGCAGTGACAGTCGGTCAGCGTGCAAGTCTGAGTGTGGAGTGCACAAGCACATACAATTTTCCAATAATCCATTTTTCAATACTGAAAATACAAGCAAGGGCACTCTCAGGAGAAGCTACTTGGAAAATTGTTAAGAACAATAATAGGATTAGCTTTATTTTCATTGAATTTGGAGTGAAATTACCAACTCAGCTATGTTTTATGCAAGGGTTACCATGGCTACAGCGGAACAGTCTAAATGTGGTGAATGATGTAATGTGCCAAAATTATCCATACATTAAATGTGGAGGGGTTCGTCATCTAAACCGAATCCACTCTATATACATTAGATAAGCCTGACTTTTTTTTTTTTTTTTTTTTTTTTTACTAGTCAGCTTCTAATTTTCTACAGGCTAGCTTCTTATCAATACCCTACTGTAGCAGAGAGCTGCCATTTCTAATTCTCTTTGCCCCATGCTCTGGTAATTATGATTTTTCTTGCAATTAAAAACATGGTTAGCGGTGAAGCTAGTCAACTTTTCTTTATTTCTGAACTGATTTGACCGTCTAGCCTATAGCTCATAACCCAGGAAATATCAAGGAGAAAGAAAATTGATTTTATTTCAGAGTTAACCTACTGTGGTGTCTAAATTAAGACTTGGTGGTTAAAGGGACGAGGAACAGATAGTCTCGACAGAAAACAACTAATGGAGAATTTACGATCTTTCAAACATGCATCCTATCATGAGAATAATTTATGCATCCCCTTCTGGGACAGGTAGCCTGTGAGTAGGGTAGAGAAGAAAAGGAAACGAAGAACGGGAAATGCACTTAAAAAGCATCCCCAAACACACGTAAATGCATCAATTCCTCGAAAGTTTTCAATGACTGAGGCTCAGGCCATCCAAAAAAAACCCAAATGCTTTACTGTGCCATTCAAGGCTTTGCACTGCACACACAGCCTGCCCTCCATGTGACCACACCTCACGCCAAGCATCCTTCAGTTTTGCCTCACTGAACACATCCCTGTCTTCACTGAAGCACATATTTGCGTCCCTTGCACATGTGTTCAGGTGTATGGGAATCCCACACCAACCAATTTAATAGACGTTCAATCACTGTAACGCTTCACTTGATCTTAGCCAAAAGTCCGAGAAGCGATTATCACTGTAATGCTTACAATGTCCTATAGACGGCAGCCCACTTAAGTCCTACAGGTGCAACAGTTTGTATGGTCTCCTCCCCTGGAAAATGTCACTGATAACAAAGGCGAGAATGATTCTGGGCTGCTTTGGATTCGACCTGCCTCATTCTACCAGTAGAACATCTGTTACTTTATGATTTCTTAAGGTTTCAGTTATTCACTAACCAGTATAACTCCACCACTTTGTCTCTGTGTATTGTACAAGGCGACACTTGAGGGGACCAAAAGAAGTTTTGGAACTGCACTTTATTTTGTTCCCATTAACCAAGCATAATCTCGCTATTAAACCAATCTAATCAGGGCCTTGCTAAAGCCAACACACAACTTCAAAGAAACTGGAGAAGCTGAGTGAGCTTCAAAGAAGCCTTGAAGGGTCAATTAACACCTGCGATGTTTATCCAGCTTGTCACTTAATTGAGATGTGACTTGCTGCTTATTTAATTTCTGATGAGGAAGGATTATAGAGGCTTACCCAGAGTGACGAACTCCCTGGAATGAACTCTTCCACTCCCCTGCCCAAGGTAGAAGAAAAGGAAGGATGCTCCCCTCTCCCCTTATTTTATTTAACTGTTCATCTTGAAATTATTTTATAGAGAATTTGCAGAGCTAGCTCAGAGAGGTGCTGT